CGAAATGTTAGCCTTTTGAAAATGTAAGTATCAAGGTATCGGTCACAGGCAGTCCATTCCAGTTCGACGTTCTGATTGTGAAGTCTGATGTCTGGGTCACTCTCCTTGATAGCAATTGACCAACAATGATTTCAGTTCACGTTTGAAAACATATTTCTGGCTAATTTTTGGCTGCTAAACTCAAATCTGAATTTAGTTTCGCTCCAACACATACAGTTTCTGTGAAACAGAACCCCACGGTGAATGAGACATTAGGGAAAACCTGACGATCAGTTTGCTGATCGACTACTGCTGAAAATAGTGCAGGAGAGCAATACTGAACACAAGCCAAAAAACGTGAAAACTGTGGCCCAGTGCCACTGATCTGATCCTAGAAAAGAAAATCTCAGACCTCAGGACGATGGAAGGTAGGATGAAAGACAATGATACACATGATGACTGCTACCTACTCCCCATGTGCCTGTTCATCCCAAAACTTACCTATTTCCTGAGATGCTCCCCAGCTTTCAGCAGTCCGAAACTCAAGAAATATGACTCCCTAAAGACCATGCTAGAGAGTGTATTGACTCTGATCTGTTCCGAAATCTTTAATCCTAGTTCGCTGCAAGTGGCGGATATGCTCCTGCACCAATAAGAAAAAAGGCAGTAGGAAACACTATACCTACTACCAATTCACCGTCGCGCATGGATGCAACTTGCATGCATGTGTGCTGCTAACGGGTGGTGTGGTATACCCCATCCTATAATTGTCATGAATAACATAACACACACACACCTTCATTAATATGCGCCAAAGTGGTTGGGCCACTTACTTTTATTACCCCCTCTCCTCACCCCCACCTTTTCGCATTCCATCACCTATCCTTCCTCCCCCCAACTTACCAAACTTAATGAACCTTGAACCTTCGTGGATATGAGATCGTAAGTTTGCTGTGCACGGCAATGCTGATTGGTACAAGCGGAGTACAATTTGTGCTAGTTTCATGATATTCAGGCTGGTGTCGCAATGAATATCTGTAAATATGTATTTTTAGGTAATGTATATAAAGTAGTTTTAAATGTCGAGATGCCATTATAACAATGAATTTGCAATGTGTCTATATGTAGGTAGTTCAAATTCTTCCTTTCCCACTCCCATGTGACCTTTTTTTCCAATCTATATGTAGGTAGCCTTAGATAATGTAGTTCAAATTCTTCCTTTCAGACTCTCCCATCACCTTTTTTTCTCTCAGTAAATGATGGCTGTTGTCCTTCTTTGTGAAGATATGTTTATGTGCATTTACAGAGGTATATGCACGCTGAGATACACCTTAGTCTACTTACACCAGGCTGTATCTCTAGGTGTGTATACACCGAAAGGTGTGTAATCTCAGTACATATACAACGAGAGATGTAAATTTCTCTGCATATATACACTGGGAGTTCACTAATCCTTATCTTAGAGACTGAATTATCCTTCACATCATGGCCTAGGTGGATTGTAGCCAGAAAAACTCATTTGAAAGATAGGTCTTAGACCTAACACATTTACATGTCAAACCTTAGACCCAACACATTTACTAGACAGGTCTTAGGCCTAAGACGTTAGTGTGAACCATAAACACTTTGGCAAAGTGAGGAATATTTAATTTGTACAGTGTATAGGGACTGGCAGATTATTAATCATATTTAGGGAGAAGCCCTAAACCTGAAAGGGTTATAGAACGCCTGGGGAATGGGAGGAAATCAGGTACAATGCAAGGAAGCAAAGGACAAGTCCAATTCTTTGGATCAAAGGCACCTCACCGGCACCAAGGAACTTAATTGTAATGGCAGAACAGGCTCACGTGTCCTAAATATTCCTTAAAATAATAATAATAATTATTATTATTATTATTATATTAGACATAAGTAGACAGATTAGCCCTGTATGTTATGGTTACAATCTAACCTAGTGATGGTCTATCATATATTCTCAATTATGAATATTACCGTGTTTTTGTATATCGATCAGACTGGCAATAACTCCAGTAAAGAACTGCCGGTACACTTCAAAAAATATCCTATAATTCCTTCAGACTTTTAACGCTCACAAACACGTTTACTGGTGTTGGATACACTCTAACTCACTTGGCTGTGGTATGTCGCGGGAATGATCTCGAAGCAATCTACTTTATATTTGAGCAGTATGTTTTGGGGATATAGTGGATTGTACTTAACAGCACCAGAGCACATGACTAACTGTCTTTATCTCAGGTATGGCGGTGATATCAACCTCCTGAGTACAATCAGCTGACGCAGCTCTCAGCTAATAGGCGACGAGGGTGACGATGTGTCATAGTGCTCTAAACCAGTAAGTGACGAGGGTGACTCTATGGCATACTGCTTTCAGCCAAAAAGAATAAAAAGGCATAATACCCTGACTGGAACAATACACCAATAATTATTGGTGGATTGTTATAACCCGCGTTTAAGGAGACTGAAACAATGATGACGGTACCTCAAAGTGTTGTTATTTGATCAGTAGTAACTCTGCTGCCTGTGTTGAAGTGAAGCATACCCGCTATACTCTAAGTCAAAATCTAATGATGGTAAGTTACTAGACAACCTATACTGTGAACTACCATCTCTCCATGAATGATAAGCGTGCAAAATTAAATGTTTCCAAGCTGATATTATGCAGGTTATCCTGTGTGCCACTCCGCTAAGAAAAAATCAATTAATACAAAAAAGGAACAGACCATAAAACAAACTCAAATCACTGTAGTGATAGAGGAATGATGATGTTCTTTAAATCACTTGTTCACTCAAGACTGGAATACTGCTGCACGCTGTTAAGTTTAATATCATTATTATACACCCCATACCTACCCTGTGGGACGTAGTCAAATGATTGCAGAGGTACATAATGGGTCCAGGGACTGGACCACCTGTTAAGGCAGGCGAAATCGCAGAACTGGAGAATGTTCAGAAATTTTTTAGTACCCATGTAAATTCAGAAGGCGACTAAATAATTAGGAACATCTGAAATCGCTTGAACTCTACTCCCCGAAATGTAGGTTAAAAATATGCATCATACATTTATACCTGGAAAATTTTTGGAAGGATTGGTCCAATATCTGTACACTAAAACTGCCCCTTACGATAGCAAGATTTATTATAATCATGGGGGAGCACTAAACCTGTAGGATTATACAGCGCATGTGGGGGGGAATGGATGGAAGGTATTCAGGCTCAGTTCAGGGAACCGGAGCACAGATTCAATTCCCTAGATCAAGAGCCCCTCAGCAGCTTCAAGGAACCTCCTTTGAGGGGCGAGAGCAAGAGAGTTGGCAGGCAACAAACTACGCCATTGAAAAGCAGAGGTAAAATGTGTACACTAAGAGACAACTCGATAAGTATACAGAGCCCAAGATTTTACAACATCCTTATTTCTTATATAAGGAAAATTACCATTCCAACAACCCCCTAGATGTCTTCAAGAGGGAAATTGATAAATTCGTCAAGTGGGGCTTGACGATCAGCGGGGTTAAAGTGCCTACTGTGTATCTATAGTGCCTAGTTGATCAAGCCATCAACCAGGAGGCCTGGTCTCAGACCGAGCCGCCGGAGAGTTTCGGGGATCAATGCCCCCGCGGCCCGGTCTGTGACCAGGCCTACCCCTCAAGGAAGGTTCCTTGATGTTGGTGAGGGGCTCTTGATTTAGGGAATTGGATCAGTGCTCCAGTTCCCCGAATTAAGCCTGAATGCCTTCCACATCCCCCCCCCAGGCGCTGTATAATCCTCCGGGTTTAGCGCTTCCCCCTTGATTATAATAATAATAATAATGTGACCAGGCCTCAGAAACTGTCTTCAGGTATTCTTAGCCACTTCGTTATCAGACGTATCGTAACGTTACCATGATATCACGGGTGAGTGAGGCTCACTAGTGGAAGCAGGTCATACAAAACTGTTGTTAGCAACAGAGTTGTAAAAGACATCCGCTACACTTGCTATAGTGGGTCCCACTCATCTATGACGTCATTTCCAAGCTGCTACATGTCACTTCCGGTTGCAGTATTCAAGGCTCTGGCCTCATGCCTTTGCTTTTTCCAGTAATATTTGTAGTCGATTGATGAATCTGGATTTGCAAGTGAAATGTTTTATCATTAAAGATACTTAAAGTAGCCTAGGTGTTACACATATCTCACTCAACTTGTTGATGTTGTGTACCACTTATATTATACTATTAGTGTCAGCTCAGAGAATGTATGCAGAATGTTATAAGATTTCTGATTATAAGAGGTAAACTTCAATAAATTGGATTTTCCCTATTGGTTTAGACCGACGAAAAGTCAAGAAAAAATTTATACCTAGGGAAACCCAATCATAACATCCCATAGCATTACATCACCGGAAGTGGTTAATTAACCTCTAAGAGTTAGTAGCCCAGGATAATCCAGTAAAGCCAATCACTGTGGTTTATTTCCAATGAGGTCTTTTTTTTTTTCTTCCCCCAGGATGCGACCCACAACCCTCGACTAACTTTAAGGCATCTATTTACTGCTAGGTAACACTCACTTTGACTTTTCTAGGTTATCCTAGGTAAATAACACATATATTAATATGTAACACAATCGTAATCATCCAAAAATTGTGTAAAACCATCTCAATAAACTTACCCACTTATTTAAGTGGTAGTGTTAACTCCGCCTCTGTAGAGTTCCACCTCTCCCTCTGTCCCTAGTGAGTCAATCACGGTAACTACTACAGACATTGTAGATATTTAATATAGCTAAATTTGATATATGCTAAATTTGAATAACATTTGCTTATTTAGCTTTGAGGAGACTGGCTTGTTGCTTCCGAAAAGAATTGACATTTAACTTGAACTACTTGCGATTTATAGAACACGAAACTATACATTTATTTGGCCACACACATACAAGAGTAATTTTTAACTCTTATTTAGGTGTAAATTAATTTATATACAAGTTTCCTTCGGTTTAATAGGTAAATTATATGTGATAGTTTGAGGCAGAAATGAATCGCATTGTTTACCTGAGCTGTGAGAGGTGCTGCGGAGAGGCTCTCTCTCACTCCTGTCAATGAAAAACATTATTTATTGGGCTCTCAGACAAGACATTTACTTATAATGACGGAAGGATCAACGCATGGGTCAGGATCCATCCAAGAAGTGTGTCAGTTGGTTTGGGGACCAAATATCAGACCGGAGTTGTTCGCTCGTTGGTCTCAAGGTGGGTTTAACCCTTGACTTAGTTTCCTGGAGTTAGTTTCATAGCTTTGTTATGCACCTCCTTCACCATACCCATCCTGTGGGTGACAGTCTAAAAGATTACAGAGGCACATAATGGATTTAGGGACTGCTTCAATATTCTATCAGCTAGGCTAGTTAGAATAGTAATTTAATTGTTTACAAGAATAATTGATTCATTCACAAAATGGATTAAAGCATTGATTACTGTAATATGTGAGTAAGACATTTATTATATGAACAGAATTTTGTGTTAATTCTGAGTTTAGGGTACTTCTAGGAAGCTAACTCACGTAAATTTAAGGATTTGACTGTATTATAGAACTACATTCTTTGATATACAGGAGTACAGATGTGTACTGAGGTTAAATCCCCAGAGTCAATTACTGCATTTAATAATTTTTGAACTACATAATAGTCTGTATGCCTCAAATTATCCTAGAAGACTTTGTGATCCTTTATTATGTAAATGATATGTAAACCTAGGTAGCTGCAGTAAGCAAGTGAATGCTTCACTGATGAGCGGGTTGTTTGATGAAGAATCAAGAGACACTTGTCTGTTTTCTGATGAACAAACAACTATCACCACTGCCACTGCTGCATTACCACGATGTATTGGATCTTTCTATAATAATTGAATATACTTTATGCTTATTATTTTTAAATGGTGGTGCATATGGGCTAACCTGGTTAATTAGTTTTACATATGCACTTGGAAAATCCTAGAGAGGGACTGGTCCCAAATCTGCACACAGAGATCACTCCCTACAAAAGCAAAAGACTCGGCAGGTGGTGCAATATCTCCCCCAGTGAAAAGCAGTGGCACCATAAGTACACTATAATAGACAACACAGTGCCAGGGGCCCAAGATTATTCAACTGCCTCCCAGCATACATACAATATTTACATATGATAAAACTTGTCATGAATGACTCAGACTGATGTCTTTTCCTAACCACCCAGGAGGTAGATATCTTGGTTCTTTTTTTTTTTTACAGTGGTTTCCCCAGTAGGCCTAGTCCACTTTTTGTTGATTTTTTTGTTCGGGCTTCCATGCCCATTTTTTTTTTCTTTGAGGAAAGGAAGAGGGTATTGGGTGAGATGTAGTCGGTGTTACTTCTATAATATCTTCATTTCTTTCTTTTGAAGAAACTGTAGAGTTTGAAAATCCAGCCTTTCTGTTTTTGAGCAGCAGTGTAGCACTCACCAGGAAAGGTTGGTTATTTGACTTTTGGTAACTTGAATGGAACAACAAATTTTTGTCCAAAGTATGCTTGAGAGCCTTGACAATCTGCTGTATGATGACATGACACGACAGTGGCATGACATTCCTGGTCAGTCACAACATTGCTGACCAGTGCAAGGAGGATGCCCAAAGAGTAGATGTCAGAAGCAGGTGTGGTTGGTTCTCCATCATAGTTCAGGAGAGCGTTGGAAATACACATGGTGAACTTCTGAGGTGTTTGTAAGGCTTAGAATGGCACCCTTGAAGGTGGCACAGCCAAAGTCAATGACACGAACATCAAGAGGCTAGTTAGGTGTGGTCAGACTGTAGGAGATGACAGTGTTATCTAGCTTGATATCATAGTGAATGACACCAGCAGCATGGACTTCTTGTAGCCACTGGCCAATGCAGAGAAGAATCTGAAGGAACAGCTTGTCATCCTTTTCACCACTGTTTATGAAATCATACAAGTTAGTGGGTCCTGTATAGGTACTAGCCAGGATCAAGGGTTAATAGGAACAGCCTTCTTGAACCCAGTGTCAGTTGTTAGGTTATCTACTTTGGCAAGTTTAACGACCACCTTTGTATCCTTCCATTTGATGCATTTAGTGAGACCGAACATTTCTTCACCAAGAATGGCACCTTCCTGAAGGAAGTAGTCCCATCCACTTTCACTTAACGGGAGAGAAGCCATTGTGGATGAAGACCATGGGACAGCATATTTTTCGATTTCCAGTTTGGAATTGTTGGGGGGGTTTATTCCTAGATGTGTAGACGAATGGCTTTTGGGACTTGACAAGCTGTTGGAGTGTGAGCATGGTAATAATTTGTGAAGGGATTCAGGGAAACTGGTCAGCCAGACTTGAGTCCTGAAGGTGGCAAGTACAATGCCTACACTTTAAAGGAGGGGTTTGGGATATTTTCTGTTTGAAGTGACATCTGAACTGTCATATCTGCACACCTCTGCAAAGACAGCGATTATGTGTGAATGATGGTAAAAGTGTTTCTTTTTTGGGTAACCCTGCCTCGGTGGGAGGCAGCCAGCGTGTTGCTGAAGAAACACAGTATAATGTAATATAGTGATGTTTGAAATGTAGTGGTGGCCGCGGCAGTGAAGTAGTGTTGGTAGTAGTGTATTGATGTCAGTGGTATTGTAGTGCTGTTGGTGGTAGTGTAGTAGTATTGGTAATAGTGTAGTGATGTTGGGTAGTGGCATAATAGTGTAGTTTGTGTTGGTAATAGTTTAGTGTTGTTGTTAATAGTGTAATGGTGATGGTGGTAGTGTAATGGTGTTGGTAATAGTGTAGTGGTGTTGATAATAGTGTAGTGGTGATGGTGGTGTTGGTAGTATTATTGGTGGTATAGTGTAAGATAAACACACTGAAAGGCAGGGGTGCAGTGAGCACAGTAAGGGAACACTGTACATATCAACATTTGTGGTCCCAGATTGTTCAAAATCTTACCAGAAGATATTAGAAACACAATGGGGACAAGTGTAGAGGTCTTCAAAAGGAAACTGGACAAGTATCTTCACCAGGTGCTAGATCACTCAGGCTGTGAAGTATATGTGGGGCTGCAGGCCACCAGCAGCAACAGCCTGGTTGACCAGGCTAGCACCAGACAAGCCTGGCCCATGATCAGGCTCTGGGACTAGTAAAACTCTCGGAACTCATCAAAGGTAAAGTTCAGAGGTATGGAGTTTCAACTATACATGTGGGTAATTTGTATTCATATTTGTACCCTATTATATTTTGATTAGTCTTTATGTAAACAGCCTCTCCTCACTTAATGACAAAGTTCCATTCCTAAGACCACATTGGTAAATGAATTTGTCACTAAGTGAGGAGTATATTATAATGGTAGTGGATTTGTGTCAACCATCTTTGATACTGTTTTAATATCACCTTTGCACCAGTTAAAACATTTTTGGTATATTTTTAAATGTTTATACAGTTATGTACTGTATATTGTAATAAACAGAATAGAGGAAATCAGCCCTAATACATATACATTATTTAGGTATGTATACTGCTCAGAGAGCCCATCGTAAGTCTGAGTCCTCAGTAAATGAGTACGTACATTACTAAGTGAGGAGAGGCTGTATACAAATTATATAAAAATAGTTTAACTAAGGATATCTCTACAGTTCTTCCATTACGGTCACTATATTGTGTATCTCATTAAGTGTACAGGTGGCCAGTCAACAAGTTTGTTCCTTAATGTATTCTTAATTGCTGACTAAATTTAAGTTATGAACTTTCCTAAGCGGTGATTACCGTAGTAATAAAAATTGATAGTCTTTACCTTTGTGGAACAAAAAAATTTCTGAAGTCTAATTATGTACTTCTGTACTGTACGGTATAAGTAAACATGCACATACAGATACTCATACTAAGTGCTTAATTTGCAATTGGTTTAGTAGATTTGCAGATAAAGTGCTGTGAATTATTTGAAGTTTTGATTATTTTAAATGTCACTGCACTGTTATAGGTGTACTGTATAGATTACTATATTTGCATCTTGATTAAAACCTCAACTTTTATTCTGCTTACCAAGGTTTATAAAATTGGCATTTTATTTTCAGGTTTTATTTTTAGTGAGCATGAAAAAACTGCACTAATTCAAACAAGTGGAGGACCATGTGCTGTCATTGCCCCTGTGCAGGCCTTCCTGTTGAAGAATCTTATTTCCAAGCATCAGTTTTCACAACTCAGGGAGGTAAGGCAATGACTCAGATGTACCTAAGGCAGTTGCTTAAACTGTTTATATACTGTACTATACTGTAATGGCTTGAAATGAATGATATTCCTCCATATAGACTATTGAACATAAAGAAAACCTCAAGGCACCCTTTTCACCATCATCATCATCACTAGGAGCAACAGAATATCTTTACCTCATCATTAAGACATAGTCCTTGATAACATCTTGACTATTGGGTCATCTTGGGTTACTAATCCTCCGGGTTATTGATCCAAGCATATATACATACTCCCATTTTGGGTGTTTAAAATACTGTGGATTTTCCATCATCATGGTTACCTTGGGATGTTTATAATATCTGACCTACTTTAGGTCTCATTGGTGTCAGAAAGGACCTTTATAGTATCTTCTCTAAGATAACTACAGCAGTGACTTTTCACATTACATTTGTTATTTATGATATGAATAAACACCTAGGAGGAAGAGGTGTATACAGTGAATATTAAAATGGTATAAAATAGCGATAGGTTGTTAGATAAGATACATATGCAACAGTTAGGTATCTTTATTTCGAAACGTTTTGCCTACACAGTAGGCTTCTTCAGTCGAGTACTCGACTGAAGAAGCCTACTGTGTAGGCGAAACGTTTCAAAATAAAGATACCTAAGTGTTGCACATGTGTCTTATCCAACAGGTGTATACAGTGTTTAAATGTTCATCAGCATTGACCCATAGTATTTGATTTTTTGATAAATGTCAGTTATCTTTTGATTTTGAAAGCTTTCTCATAAGGTTTTAGTTGTTTTAGTGCTGTTAGTATATTAACTCTCACATAAAGTATATGTTGCACATTAGAAGAGTTATGGTGAAATACTGGTGAATGATTATCAGTTGAATTTTCCAAGAGGTAAATGCTCAGAATTAACCCGTAAACGGTCCAAGCAGATCTACTTTCATGTGCGTAATGCTCCAAAAGTAGATCTACGTTTTTTTTTACATATTTTCAAATATTTATATTATTTTCTATTATCACATTGGCCGATTCACACCAAGGCAGGGTGGCCCGAAAAAGAAAAACTTTCACCATCATTCACTCCATCACTGTCTTGCCAGAAGGGTGCTTTACACTACAGTTTTTAAACTGCAACATTAACACCCCTCCTTCAGAGTGCAGGCACTGTACTTCCCATCTCCAGGACTTAAGTCCGGCCCGCCGGTTTCCCTGAACCCCTTCATAAATGTTACTTTGCTCACACTCCAACAGCACGTCAAGTATTAAAAACCATTCATCTCCATTCACTCCTATCAAACACGCTCACGCACGCCTGCTGGAAGTCCAAGCCCCTCGCACACAAAACCTCCTTTACCCCCTCCCTCCAACCTTTCCTAGGCCGACCCCTACCCCGCCTTCCTTCCACTACAGACTGATACACTCTTGAAGTCATTCTGTTTCGCTCCATTCTCTCTACATGTCCGAACCACCTCAACAACCCTTCCTCAGCCCTCTGGACAACAGTTTTGGTAATCCCACACCTCCTCCTAACTTCCAAACTATGAATTCTCTGCATTATATTCACACCACACATTGCCCTCAGACATGACATCTCCACTGCCTCCAGCCTTCTCCTCGCTGCAACATTCATCACCCATGCTTCACACCCTTATAAGAGTGTTGGTAAAACTATACTCTCATACATTCCCCTCTTTGCCTCCAAGGACAAAGTTCTTTGTCTCCACGGACTCCTAAGTGCACCACTCACCCTTTTCCTCTCATCAATTCTATGATTCACCTCATCCTTCATAGACCCATCCGCTGACACGTCCACTCCCAAATATCTGAATACATTCACCTCCTCCATACTCTCTCCCTCCAATCTGATATCCAATCTTTCATCACCTAATCTTTTTGTTATCCTCATTACCTTACTCTTTCCTGTATTCACTTTTAATTTTCTTCTTTTGCATACCCTACCAAATTCATCCACCAATCTCTGCAACTTCTCTTCAGAATCTCCCAAGAGCACAGTGTCATCAGCAAAGAGCAACTGTGACAACTCCCACTTTGTGTGATTCTTTATCTTTTAACTCCACGCCTCTTGCCAAGACCCTCGCATTTACTTCTCTTACAACCCCATCTATAAATATATTTTCAAATATAACAAAAAAAAACGTAGATCAAAGTTTTTTTACACGTTTTCAAATGTAAAAAAAAAAAAAAAAGATCTTACATACTTTCAAATGTTGAAAAAACGTATATATACGTTTAGACCGTTTACGGGTTAAGCTGCAGTGCAGCGACTATATATAAGACAAAAATCATATTTAGCTGTAAACTTTGTATTTTGAGCACTAATATAAGATGAATGAAAATCACTGTGTGTTGTAGGTTGAGAGCACAACAGTAGACCAGTACTTGGCTGCAGCACTGACAGAGATGCTGTGCCAGTGTAAACAGCCACCTACTGTAACCATGCACACTGGTGACAAGTCTAATTCTCCAACTCATGCTTGTGATAGTAATGCTCCTCTTCAGAGAGATCATGGTGAGTACTGCAGGAAACTAATGAAGACTAAAAGTATCACAAGTGACTGTAAATCTTATTAACATGTATGGTGGTATGGTAGTATATACCGGGAGTATACCTGGAGAGGCTTTTCTGGGGTCAGCACCCCCATGGCCTGGTCTGTGACCAGGCTTTGTGGTGGATCAGGACCTGATCAACCAGGCTGTTACTGCTGGTCACATGTAGACTGATGTATGAACTACAGCCCAGTTGGTCAGGTACTAACTTTAGGTGCCTGTCAATAAAGATCACGCAGTGTTATATACACATTGACAAATTGATATTGAACATGGTTTTCATGGATGTATTTCTTTCTAACTAAATATCCTTGTTATCAAGATAATAATTCCAAGTTTTACTAATTTTTGTTATCCTTATCTTCAGACTTCTTGTAATATTTTATAATTTTATGTACTTTGATGTACCTGTGCTTGCTTGTTACAGTACTGCACTGTATATCATATAGTCTTGAACTATGTGATAATTGCTGACTTTGATTATATGTCATGTTTTGACTATTGCAGGTCCTTTTGAAATAGCTTGTTTGGATGATTGATTATATGTCATGTTTTGACTATTGCAGGTCCTTTTGAAATAGCTTGTTTGGATGATCCCTTGCCTCTAAACAATGACTGCTCCGGCTCAAGTCCACAAGAGCCAGACCAGCCAACACCCACACCAAGTGCCAAAGATTACAGTCTTTTCCATTCCAATGTTAGGTATGCTTTTTAAATGATGTGTGTTGAGTATACTGTTTGTAATAATTTTCTAAGTATTTTCCTTCTACTTTAGATAAAAATTTAAACATTGAATGGTATATTTTGAAACACTTAAAATGTAGAAACAGAACTTTGAGACCTTAGTAGTAGGTTGCTAAACAGCATCCTCCCAGGGAGGTACTACCGTCCTGCCAAGTGAGTGTAAAACGAAAGCCTGTAATTGTTTTACATGATGGTAGGATTGCTGGTGTCTTTTGTCTGTCTTATAAACATGCAAGATTTCAGGTACATCTTGCTACTTCTACTTACACTTAGGTCACACTACACGTACATGTACAAGCATATATATACACACCCCTCTGGGTTTTCTTCTATTTTCTTTCTAGTTCTTGTTCTTGTTTATTTCCTCTTATCTCCATGGGGAAGTGGAACAATTCTTCCTCCATAAGCCATGCATGTTGTAAGAGGCGACTAAAATGCCAGGAGCAATGGGCTAGTAACCCCTTCTCCTGTATAAATTACTAAATTTAAAAAGAGAAACTTGCCTTTTTCCTTTTGGGCCACCCCGCCTCGGTGGGATACGGCCGGTGTGTTAAAAGAAAGAAAGCTTTGGGTAAACATTATATATGTTAAAAGACTATTGGAAAGGAGGGATTGAAAAGATAACGTTTAATAAAGGTAGGAATAAAGTACTGTACTGTATTGTACAGGAATTGAAGTATGGCAGAGAAAACAAAGTACTGTATGCAAATGCATTCATGCCATACTGGAAGAGGATAATGTACCAGAGTAGTGAATGTTGGAATTGTGTGTGTTTAGCTGAGTTTGCAGGTGATGCACTCCAGTTCTTGGTCTACCTCTTAACTCTTGGTTGGTTTGCATTTTCCATTTGTCGTATTTAGCTTGGAAACTGTGAATAGATTTATATTTGTCATTCTTCTACCTCCTAACAATGGATTATATTATTGTTGTGGCAGGCTTTGAGTGGCCTAGGGAATGTCTTAATCCAGAATCCCATTTTTAATCTCAGTAGCAAGAAAATTTCTCCTTCATAATTTTCTATGGCATATAGAATGTAACTTGGAATGAGTTAGGTATATGAGTTGAATTGTGACAAATGGACTTAGAATTGGTGCCTTTGCCACTGATATCACCACTGCCACTTCTGACAGCACTGTTGATTCTATTGCTGCAACTTTTGACTTTTCATACTGCTGCCATTGGTTCTGTTATTATTATTATTTAACCCTTAAATGGTCCGAACGTATATATACGTTTTTTCAACATTTGAAAGTATGTAAAAAAATGTAGATCTTCTTTCTTGTTTTACATTTAAAAATGTGTAAAAAAACTTTTATCTACATTTTTTTATTTTTGAAAATATGTAAAAAAAAAATGTAGATCTACTTTTGGAGCACTATGGATTTGAACGTCGATCTGTTTGGACCGTTTAAGGGTTAAATAACTATGTAAACCAATATTTTAATAAAGGCATATCTGTTGGAAGCCTACAGCTGTTCCAACTGAGACACAGTGTACAAGTGATTTTTGTGGGTAACACGAACTATATACTCTGTGGCTGAGTCGGTATGGTCTTGTACTTGCAATCGCAAGGATTTCAGTTTAGTTCTTAATACCTATTGCATGACTTGTTTCCTTTATGATGTATGATAATTATTTTAGGGTGTATTTGTATTTTAGTGGCTAGGGATAGATGATAATTAAAGAATAGAGGAACCCGTCTTGAATGAGTGGGATACTGATCGAACATACACTGAAATATAGCCAACAGATTATATATAAATAGATTTGTGGCAGATTAGAATAATGAGTGATAGCAAGGTAGAATTTTTGTTTATCCTGTGACAGATTACAAATTGTACTGACTGGAACATTTTATATGTCAGTTTATATTATGATTAAATGCTACATTTATGCATAGTACATAATAAAATTGTGATTTTTATTTCAAATTTCAGATTAAGGCAGTTTGAAAGTGTCCACTCATTGCAAAACCATTTAGAAACTCACCTGGACAAGTACAAAGCCCAGTATGGGGTTCTCCTCTTTCTTTACTCCATCATATTAACAAAGGTACGGTGGTACTACACATTAGTAATATACCTTAACTGAAACAGGTGGATATTTACCTTTTGGTTTTCAGCTTCCATGAAATGTAGTTGTACTCTGAGAATGTTGTAGAGTAAAATGTAAATGGTCTTAATCCTATTGTAATATTTGTTTAATTCTGAAATTATTGGCCAAGTGTAGTCATTGACACCAGAAGACTCGGTAACAGTTTTTATTATTAGGGTTTCAATCTGAATATTTTCATCCATTTATTATGTGGGACAAGCTACCACTCTGTCTTCCTAATACTTTCGATCTCCAGTATTTTGAGTTTTTGACCGAGTCTCTTGGATAATACTGTATCTAATATTTGGCACCTTTCTTTTGATGGTGCCCTTTTGGCCACATGCTATATTTATGAACAGATCCATATATCTCCACTAGATTGTTAGTCCTTCCTAACAGCCCAACGTTTTTTGATTGATTTTTTCCATTCATTAGAGAGCATGTTAACTTCATTTTGGGTGCCTTCTTCAGTACCATGACACACTTTGTCGACCCTCCTCTCTAATAGTTTCACATTTAATGTAGACTCATTCATTGACTTCTTAACTGACAACAGTTTACTGTATTAACTGTAGCCTCCATTCTTCCTGGTGATGGCCTTCCCTCATCTCCTCTGCCTCTCATGTTCTACCATCTGTTTCACTTCTGCCATGCAGTGCTGCATAACCTGTATGGGATTAGCACTTTCCATAAATATAATAATGTATATTGACAATGCAATGTTTACTTCTTCCCCAACAAGGTGACAGATTCAGAATCTATCTCAAGCTAATCTTTATTGACACCTATTCAACAACCTACTTTATCTAAGACTTTAATAGTAATCTTTGGATGCAAATATGTACATATTCTCATTTTTTCCATTTTTTCCTTCCCTTTGGTGATAGAGTTTGAGTAGCCTGAATGCCTAACCAAGAAAACATCAACACATTTTTTGTCTAAGTAATGAGTAGAATTCCTCTTGCGTCAAAATTTGCTGTGACATAGTCTACAACTTGAAACACATTATGACAATGGTTTAGGCTGGAACTAATGAACTTAGATTTTATTTTTTAATACACCAGCTGTTTCCCACAAAAGCAAGGTGACCTGAGAAAGAAGAAATGCTTCATAAATTTTTTCTTCTTTTTACATTTAGTAATTTATACAGAAGGGGTTACTAGCCCTTTGCTCTTGGCATTTTAGTCACCTCTTACGACACACATGGCTTACAGAGGAAGGATCCTTCACCACTTCCCCTATGGAGATGAACTTAGAATTGTTTCCATTATACAGTGGTACCCCGAGTTTTGTACAGCTCCCAACTTGAACAATTATTATTGTAAGTGCTTTTGTAAGCGTATTTTTGGGGGTCTGAAACAGACTAATCTAATCTACATTAATCCTTATGGGAACAAATTCGTTAAGTAACGGCACTTGAACAGCCTTCTGGAACGAATTATGGCTGAAATTCGGGGTACCACCGTATTGTAATTTGTATCTGTAATAACGGTAAATTTGTCTCAATAGCAAATTGATATTGATATCAAATTCATAAGATGGCTTAAAATTTATGATAACAGCAGTGGACTATCAATGTTAGCATTTTTTATGTTAAAAGCACTGCATAACCTTCTGGGTTTTGTGTTTGGAAAAACATAAAGCTCAGCTTCTTCCTTACATTACCTCCATATTCATTTTCTATTACTTGCACATACAGTTATTGTATTATTAGATTTCACTCTTTCATCAAGAGTGCGATGGACAAGTGACATAGTAGCATCAGTAGCACACACAGCAAGAGGCATTCTTGAGCTTCCTCAGTGCTTGGGCTTAATGCCCAAAGCTGGGGTGTGGCTCCAAAAGGATCCTGTAGTGCTTGCTGCCTTTGCACCTCCTGACATTATCTGCTGCTATGCAGGTGCCACACCCTTCGAGCCCAGTGTGGGTGAGGTTTGTAGCAGCTCAAGGTTCCTAGCTTCTCTCTCCGAGCCCCATGGGGGTGGGGAATGAGGCTTGGCCAGGGGACATCTGGTCTCAGAAGATGAGGAGGTACTTGTACTTCCTCCCATGGCAGTCATTGGTCTGAGACATTCCCATGATAGGGAGCCAAGGCCAGGCCACCTCTTGAAAAAGGCCTGGGCCGGGCGATTATGCTGGCGAATCTGCTACCTACCTATCTACTCTTTCAATTGTATGCGTTTACCAGCTTTTGCCAAAACTTATTCTAAACTCTTGCTTCCTTTCAATCATATAGTGCTTATTTTATTATAATGTAAATTTTTTGTGAAACTTAAATTTCACAGCCAGTGTTCTCAATGTTTCAGACTTAATCTATATTTTGTTACACTGTTGATCCTTCATGATTGTATTTGCACACCTGTACATCCAGCATCATAGTAGTTTTCATACTACTCATTCCACACTTCTTTCAACAAACTGGCTGTATCCCACTGAAACAGGGTGGCCCAAAAGGAAAAATGGAAGTTTCTCCTTTTAAATTTAGTAATATATACAGGAGAAGGGGTTACTAGCCCCTTGCTCCTGGCATGCTAGTCGCCGCTTATGACACACATGGCTTATGAAGGAAGAATTCTGTTCTCCTTCTCCATGGTGATAAGAGGAAATAAGAATAAGAACTAGTAAGAAAATAGAAGAAAACCTAGAGGGGTGTGTATATATATTCTTGTACATGTATGTGTAGTGTGACTTAAGTGTAAGTAGAAGTAGCAAGATGTACCTGAAATCTTGCATGTTCATTCTACACTTTCTTTTTTTAACAAGTCGGCCGTTTCCCACCGAGGCAGGGTGACCCAAAAAGAAAGAAAATCCCCAAAAAGAAAATACTTTCATCATCATTCAACACTTTCACCTCACTCACACATAATCACTGTTTTTGCAGAGGTGCCCAGAATACAACAGTTTTGAAGTATATATGTATAAAGATACACAACATATTCCTCCAAACTGCCAATATCCTAAACCCCTCCTTTAAAGTGCAGGCATTGTACTTCCCATTTCCAGGACTCAAGTCCGGCTATATAAAATAACCGGTTTCCCTGAATCCCTTCACTAAATAATACCCTGCTCACACTCCAACAGCTCATCAGGTCAGAAATACCATTCGTCTCCATTCACTCCTATCTAACACGCTCACGCATGCTTGCTGGAAGTCCAAGCCCCTCGCCCACAAAACCTCTTTTACCCCCTCCCTCCAACCTTTTCGAGGATGACCCCTACCCCTCCTTCCTTTCCCTACAGATTTATACGCTCTCCATGTCATTTTACTCTGATCCATTCTCTCTAAATGACCAAACCACCTCAACAACCCCTCTTCAGCCTTCTGACTAATACTTTTATTAACTCCACACCTTCTCCTAATTTCCACACTCCGAATTTTCTGCATAATATTTACACCATACATTGCCCTTAGACAGGACATTCTACACTTATTAGTCTAAATTATGGCTTTTGAGTGGTAAGTTAAGTGTAAAGGAAAGCCATATTAAGTGACTCGGTGCAATATAACTAAATTCATTTTGCAGGGTGTGAAAACTATGAATGAAGAAATGGGAGACCTTGGTGAGAGTCTCATAGATGGTAGCCAAGGTCATGGGGGCCAGGGTCTTATTAATCTCCTTATCACTGGCCGTGCTTCATCTTATGTATGGGATGGAGTCAAGGATGTTGGTGGTCTTAGTGAGTATTGTCACAGACTTAGTTATAGTGAAAGATATACAGCAAATTTTACTTAGTATTGTAAGCTTTCTTGAGATCTAAATAAATGCAATCTTCCCATCTATTTCTTTTTTGAGTAATTTCTGGGACTGTTTCAGTAGCTAAATTGATTTGATATACTGAACAAGAATTTGCTAATTAAAAAAGAAATGTTTGCTCTACAAGTGCTTTATAAATCCCTTTCTTTTGGCTCTGTCCAGTAAATTTACAATGCTGTCAGTAAGACAGACCTACAGATTAGTGTCATCCCTGTTACAATGTTAAATATAACTACAGTATGTTATGTATGTGATATTTTCTATTTGTCTGCCAGTTTACCTTCTTGTAATAAAATCCCCAAACTCTTGTTGAGCAGATAACTTAGTTCTTCTGCACAGTCTTTTTAAAATCCATGGTTATATCTAGTTGTCTTCCATTGCATTTTTTTTTTTTGTCAGTTTCCAATAGTAGCATGTATGTATGGTACAAGGATGTGTCTAGGTATGTAACAAACATATATACTCTGCCCAAAATGCCTTGTATAACAAGGGGGTTTCTATAATGTAGTTTATACATGTCATTTACCCTAATTGTCTATTTTACAGCACTCCACTTTATAAGAATAAAGTTTTTTGTTTGCTTATTTCTTTAGGTACAGTATTACATTTAATTTGCTATCTGCTTTATTCGGTATATATTGCCCTTATATACAGTGTATTTTCTTTTGTGGCACTTTTTTTAGGTTTGATTGGCATTTTAAAACGCCCAGCTGTGGGGTTTCTAACCCGCTTAGAGCATCTGCGTTACGTGCAGGTGGGCTGGTACCTCAAGAATCCCACTAATCCCGTGTGGGTTATTGCTTCTGAGACGCACCTTTCAGGTTTGTCAGTATTGCACTCTTTGATATCTTTTAGTAAGGGGATCTCTAAAGTAGACTGGTCAAGAGATATTTAGAAGTAGCGACTTGAACGTCTTGCAGGTGTATATGAGTAAATTATATCGGGTGGAGAAAAGTGGTCAGTGGTAAGTGTCAGATTTATTCCTGCCCAAAAGGGCATAGACAAAACAAAGAATCCATGGTTCAGCCTTGCAAAGACTCCTGCCCTCCCCAAAATAGTAATAGTAATAACATTGCTTCTAAACAGTCTCCTAACTGCCCCTCTTTCAACCAGATAGCCACCTATAAGTCCACCCATATAGTATTCTGGCACCGGCTAGAATAACAGAAAAAGTGGTACTTAGAAAAAATAAAGACCATAGTGCATGTTCTTTACCAAAAAATTATGGAAATAACTCTCATTGTTAGGAAGGAAGCAGAAAAAACAATACAAATGGACATAGCAGCCAGAGTAAAAGCAGAGGCAAAGTTATTGAAATGTAATTAAGCTAAAGAAAACTGTAGGACTAATGCCAATTTTATCTCCTTTACCATCATGTGCTATTCTTTTCTCCTTTTCCTCAATTTTTGCCACCTTACCAACTTTCAGTATTTATACTATAGCTCTTAAACTTTTTTTTTTATAATTTATACCCATTCATATTTTTATCTACATGGTAATCCTTTTCTTGTATTCCATCTTCTTGCATTAGTCACTACTAAGTATTGATCACACCTATCACTCATTCCCTTAAAACTATGTACTAACCAAAACCCTTCCATTTTATGTAAACTGAACCATTGTATGTATTTATTCAGCTAGGTATCACAAATGATGGTGTTTGTTGATATACTGTACTTACTAAAAAGCACACACATTTGTATACTCTCAGAAATGGTGGTGTTTAATGATATACAGTACTGGATATACCTTTGGGTATACCTTTGATGAGTTCCAAGAGTTTTTCTACTCCCAGGGTCCAGCCTTACCCAGGTTCATCTGGTACTCACTTTCTAATAGTAGTTTATTAAAATGGTTAATTAAATTCTACTTTTTCAAAAGATGTACTGCATTTTTTAACCAAAGAATTCTCCTGTCCTCAGTAAATAACAAAAAAAATTGTCTTCTTAACAAACACTGTAGTTCTGTTCTCGTGGTGCAAGAAGTTGGTGACTCCAGACTCGGAAGTTGAGCGAGCCAAGCAAGTTTTCAGCTGGTATGACACTGAAGGGAACCGCTTTATTCAGGGAGAAAAACTCAAGGATGTTTTGGAGAAGCTTAATCTTTGCACTGATGATGACTTGTAAGTTTCAAAAGTATTTTGGAAATGGAGTATTATTGAAAAAAGTATAATTTATGCATGGTAGTTAGAAATACAAAAGCAGTCTAGGATGTGGTAATATGATCACTCAGGAGATGCACTGTTAATTTTTATCACTGTGGTAGACACTAAATTTACCTTGCTTTATCCTTCATGAGCAAAAATTGACTTCCTAAATATAAAAGTAGTTTGCTTATACAGTGCTGTATTACAATAATATTACAGAAATATTTTTAACCATTAAACTGCCAGATGGTCTAGAATTAATGTGCTCCCCATTGCTGGTTATTTTGAAAAGAAAATTATCTTAATAAACAATTCTCCCTGATTTTAAAAGTGTAATAAGACAAGAATGGAGATTTGAAGGTGACATTTGAACTTGTTTTATGCCAGGATGATTGCTTGCTACGTGGAGGAAGTTACTGCATTAGTTTTTTATGATTTTTTCCAATTTTTTTTATGAATCATACTTTTTATAACTATATTTTCATATGTTTGGGATATTGACAGTTTGGAGGGACATCTAAACTGTCATATCTGAATGCCTTTGCAAAGACAGTGATTATGTATGAGTGATGGTGAAAGTGTTGAATGATGAAAAGTTTTTTTCTTTCTTTTTGGGTAACTGTGCCTCAGTGGGAAACAGCCGATGTGTTAAAAAAAAATCATGTGACTTATATTTATTCTTCAGTCACACTAAACAAATGTAAACACTAAACACATGAAAACAGATGTAAATGACATTTATTGTCTCCCACAATGCCATGAACAAAACACATTTTTTTTTATACTGTACATACGTATGGCATAGTTTGGAAATTAGGAGGTGTGGGGTTACTAAAGTATTATCCAGAGAGCTGAAGAAGGGCTGTTGAGGTGGTTTGAACATTTAGAGAGGATGGAACAAAATGGAATGACTTGGAGAGGGTATAAATCTGTAGTGGAAGGAAGGTCGAATAGGGGATGGCCTAGGAAAGGTTGGAGGAAAAAAGAGGTTTTGTGTGTGAGGGGCTTGGACTTCCAGCAAGCAAATGTGAGCATGTTAGGTAGGAGTGAGTGAAGACCAATAGTATTTTTATGACTTGACATGCTGTTGGAGTGTGAGCAAAGTAACATGAAGGGATTCAGGGAAACTGGCAAGCCGGACTTGAGTCGTGGAGATGGAAAGTACAGTGCCTGTGCTCTGAAGAAGGAGTGTTGATGTTGCTGTTTTTTAACTGTAGTTTAGTTGTGCCTCTAGCAAAACAGTGATGGACTGAATGATGATGGAAGTGTTTCTTCTTTTTTGGGTCACCCTGCCTTGGTAGGAAATGACTGATGTGTTAATAAAAAAAAAACACATATGGCACAGATTTGTTTTTACTTATGTAGTCCTAACCAGGCCAATTGAAACCATTTTGGAGGTGCTACAATTTAAGTGTACAGTGGACCTCGGCACTCGAACTTAATTGGTTCCAGAAGGCTGTTCGAGTGCTGATCTGTTCAAAGTACAGAACTAATTTTTCCCAACCAATTTTCTTTTTGGTTGGCTGTTATCACTAATCCTCTTAGGCCCCATGGTGACTTCTTTATACAAATAATATAAAAAACACTAAAAAATGTGAAGAAATATGAAATAGTTTACAGCAAAGTTCTGGCAGGTTGTGTTTGCTTGGTCGAGTGCTGACCAAACAGTTGACTACCAAGCGATTTGTTTACCAACCAAAGAGTTCAAATACTGAATTGTTCGAGTACAGAGCTGTTCCAGTACCGAGGTTCCACTGTAATTGTATGTCATTTGCAATCTCACAATTGGCATAAATTTACGTCTTTGGCAGTTTAAGGGTTAAATGAATGTGTGTATGGTGTGCAGCAACACAAAGTTCATAGTGATATCAAATTTAATTGTGTTTGTGTTGATATTTACTATATACAGCCTCTCCTCACTTAACAACAGAGTTCCGTTCCTAAGACTATGTCAGTAAATGAATTCATCGCTAAGAAAGGAATATGCTATAATAATAGTGGGTTTGTGTCAACCATCTTTGATATTGTTTTAATGTCACCTTTGCACCATTTATAACACTTAGTATATTTTTAAATGTTTATACAGTAGTGTACTGTAAATGTATATTGTAATTAATAGAATAGAGGAAATCAGCTCTTAATATATATTACTTAGGTATGCATACTGGTCAGAGAGCCTGTCGTAAGTCCGAGTCGTCGGTAAACGAGTATGTTGCTAAGTGAGGAGAGGCTGTATACTATAGTATATAGAATTAAACTGTTGAAATAAGAACAGTTGTGTATTAAGTGGCAGTGAACAAAGTTTCAACAAGTAGAAGTATAAATAATAAAAAATTATAATGCTTTTTATAATTGTGTGTATCTCATGTTTTAAATACGTGTATTTTCTTTTTGCCCATAGCATCCAGTTCATGATGCTGGAGCTAGATCCAGACAACATGGGAGTAATTCTCTACCACAAATTCGTTGAAACGTTTTTCACTCCAGATCAATCATATGCCCCACCAGACACCTTTGTTATCTATCACTATAATGGACTAGAATCTTCATGTCCTTTGAATAAGGTAAGACTAAATATACTAAATGCTCATTCATGTAAAATGTTAAAGATATTAGAAGGTGAAAGATAAAGAAACCCTTGGAATGACATGTGCATGGAAGTACATTTACTGCTTTTCGAGTATTGTCAGCATTTTGGTTAGTTTTTGTTAAAAGTAGGTGACAGAGCTAAAAGGCAAAAAAAAAAAAAAAAAAAAAAAAAAAAAAAAAAAAAAAAATTGGAAGTGGACTGCAAAGTATTGGTAAATTATATTCACCAACTCAAGTTAGTGTTGCCTACAGTAAGCCTTCCTAAGTACATAATAGTTACTCATTGTTTATTAGTTTTGATATTTTTTGGAGGGTGAAAGTGTTTTTCTTTTTTGGGTCACCCTGCCTCGGTGGGAGATGGGTGATATGTTGAAATAAAATTTTGGATTTCCAAAAACACTTCAAAATTTGCTCCTCTTCAAAATTACACTGCCCTACATTTCCTCAATACAGTATTTTGTTGGCTCTTTTTGATGCACCCTTATTTTTTTTATATATTATTGATATGTATCTGTAGTGGAGGGAAGGTGGGGTAGGGGTCAGACTAGGAAAAGTTTGGAGGGAGGGGGTAAAGGAGGTTTTGTGTGTGAGGGGCTTGGACTTCCAGCAAGCATGAGTGATAGGAGTGAATGGAGACAGGTGGTGTTTAGGACTTGATGTGCTGTTGGAGTGTGAGTAGGGTAACATTTATGAAGGGATTCAGGGAAACCAGCAGGCAAGACTTGAGTCCTGGAGATGGGAAGTGCAGTGTCCGCACTCTGAAGGAGGAGTGTTAATGTTGCAGTTTTATAACTGTAGTGTAAGCACGCCTCGGCAAAACAGTGATGGAGTGAATGATGATGAAGTGTTTTCTTTTTCGGGCCACCTTGCCTTTGTGGGAAGTGGCCAATGTGTTAATAATAATAATAATAATAATAATAATATCAATTAAATTATGAGATATAATAATAATATCAATTAAATTATGAGATATCAAATACAAAATGGGAGTTGACAGTGTTACTTTTTGCTGATGCTACTAGGCTTATGGGTGATTCTAAAAAAAAGTTGCAGAGGTTAGTGGACGAGTTTGGGAGGGTGTGTAAAGGTAGAAAGTTGAAAGTGAACATAGATAAGAGTAAGGTGATGAGGGTATCAAATGATTTAGATAAAGAAAAATTGGATATCACATTAGAGAGGAGTATGGAAGAAGTGAATGTTTTCAAATATTTGGGAGTTGATGTGTCAGCAGATGGGTTTATGAAGGATGAGGTTAGCCATAGAATTGATGAGGGAAATAAGGTGAGTCGTGGTGAGACAAAAAACATTATCAATGGAGGCACAGAAGGGAATGTATGAAAGTATAGTGGTACCAACACTCTTATATGGGTGTGAAGCTTGGGTTTTAAATGCTGCAGCGAGGAGGTGGTTGGAGGCAGTGGAAATGTCCTGTCAAAGGGCAGTGTGTGGTGTAAATATTATGTAGAGAATTCGAAGTGTTATTCTACTTTGATCCATTCTCTAAATAACCAAACCACCTCAACAACCCCTCTTCAGCCCTCTGACTAATACTTTTATTAACTCCACACCTCCTAGTCAGAGGGCTGAAGAGGGGTTGTTGAGGTGGTTTGGTTATTTAGAGAATGGATCAAAGTAGAATAACATGGAGAGTGTATAAATCTGTAGGGGAAGAAAGGTGGGGTAGGGGTTGTCCTTGAAAAGGTTGGAGGGAGGGGTAAAGGAGGTTTTGTGGGCGAGGGCCTTGGACTTCCAGCAAGCGTGCATGAGCATGTTAGATAAGAGTGAATGGAGATGAATGGTTTTTGGGACCTGACGAGCTGTTGAAGTGTGAGCAGGGTAATATTTAGTGAAGGGATTCAGGGAAACCAGTTATTTTTATATAGCCGGACTTGAGTTCTGGAAATGGGAAGTACAATGCCTGCACTTTAAAGGAGGGGTTTGGGATACTGGCAGTTTGGTGGGATGTGTAATAGGACGGTGTATATATAATTGGGGCCCTGATATTTTATACTTATTATTTCAGGTCACTTTTTATATCGTATCTTTATTTATGCTTCTAAACTGTTGTATCTGGGCACCTCTGCAAAAACAGTGATTATGTATGAGTGAGGTGAAAATGTTGAATGATGATGAAAGTATTTTCATTTTGGGGATTTTCTTTCTTTTTGAGTCACCCTGCCTAAGTGGGAGACGGCCGACTTGTTGAAAAATAAAAAATATCAAGTATTACACTGTTCTAGCTTTAACATCAGGATTTAATTTGTGGGGAGAGAGGAGGGTTGGGTGAAGTCTGGCTCTTGATTCATTTTGATTTGTCTGGTTAAGCCCTGTCATGCGGTATCTGTTTTTTAACCCCAGTATGGTGTTTGCTTCCATTGTCATTGCTCACCTCATTCCCTGCTTTAACACTTACATTTCCTGTGGCTCTTTGGGGTGTACAGTAATTTCCAAGACTAACCAATGTTTTTGTAGCATTCCTGATAAAGAGCCTATTGTTCATATGCAAGCTTGAGGGTAAAGATGTCCTTCTAGTAGATGAACATATGAATAAAGTAATTTTTTTTAATACACTGGCCATCTCCCACTGAGGCAGGGTGAGTTTGATATTCTTTCACAAATGTGCTGATATTATTTATACCTTTTTTACAATACTGCAATAATTTCAATAACAGTAAATCTTCTATTTTTTTGTGAATAAAAATTCAAAATGGAAAGCAAGTGTATTATAGGAGGGGCCTGGAGATGTGACTAATGAACAGAGAAAATGTTATTTTAGTGCTAGGAATGTCTGCATTGTTTATTCTGGCCCTTAGTTTGAAATTGGTCTTACTTCAATCAATCAATTTTTATTTCCTTGCAAGATTACATTGAGATTATGAAATTACAAAAGTGAGTTGCAGTGCAAAAAGAGTCACTCATGTCTAGGCATTATGGCCAGACTTAATTTAATGGCTTACACACTACATAATACTAAAGAAATTGAACATAGTTTGTTTAAGTTGTACATCTTGTTTATTTATAGTACACAGTAATTTTACTCCAATTACAATTGAATTGTGTGTGAAATTGGCCAAATTACCAATTTCTGATCACTTTATTGGATAGTTAAAATCAGTAAATGAGCAGTTTCTTGTACTGAGTGGATAGAACAAATGGAGTTCTAACAAAATAGCTATGAGTTTGGTTGACTGGAGCAATGGAATTGGCCGAAAATAGGGCTCAAATGGGCAAAATCACCAATGCGTAAATATCGCTGAGACCACTAACTTTGCAAGAGCATAATTCCGTAAGTTTTCCATCAAATTTTGTACTTTTGGTGTCATTACCATCGGGAAAAGATTCTCTATCATATCATAAGAAAAAATAATTTTTTTTTTTTAATTTTTCGACACAGAGAGCAAGTTTGTGAGCAGGGGTCTTGACAGTGAAAGGGTTAATAACTCCATACCTCCTCCTAATTTCCACACTACAAATTCACTGCATAATATTTACACCAGAAATTGCCCTTAGACACGACATCTCCATTACCCCCAGCTTCACTGCAATATTCACAACCCATATAAGAGTGTTTGTACCACTATACTTCCATACATTTCCTTCTTTGCCTTCATAGATAACATTCTTTGTCTCTATAGATACCTCAGTGCACCACCCACCTTTTGTCCTTCATTGATTCTATGGCTTACTTCATCCTGCATGTACCCATCTGCCAACACAACTGCTCCTAAATATATGAACACATTCTCTTCTTCCTTACTCCCTCCCTCCAATCTCACTTCCAATTTTCCTAAAAAAAATTTAACAGATCGACCGTCTCCCACGAGGGCAGGGTGACCCAAAAAAGGAAGAAACACTTTCACCATCATTCACACATAATTACTGTCTATGATGGTGAAAGTGTTGAATGATGGTGAAAGCATTTCTTTCTTTGTTGGGTCACCCTGCCTTGGTGAGAGATGGCTGACATGTTGAAAAAATTAGGAGTTAAAAACCTGCACTAATAATATGCTCTATATTTTCAGATTCAATATGCAGAGGGCTGTGTGACTTTACAAGAGAGCCACGTTGGCTTTGCTGCGAGTAATTCCGAGTTCCTAACCTGCCTTGCAACTAAATGGCCAAACCTTGATATACAGTGGTCCAACTTCACACCTTCACTTAACTAGCACTACTTAAAAACGTTATTTTTCAGTATTCTTATGCCATGTTCCGAATCACAAATTCATGAAAAGTGTTATTAATACCAGAGAATGTAAATCTAAATATTGTACGAATTTAAGTTATACAAAAAATTAAGGAATAGATGGAGCCATCGTTGTATATTTGTAAAAATTATTCGGTTGTATATTGAATTTTTATTTAAAGAAATTAAAAAAAAAAAGAGTCCCTAATTCACATCTGAAGTAAGGAGTGTTATTTTAAAAGTGCCATAAGGCATAATTCCGTTTGAACATACCTGTACATTCTCTCATTCCTTGAGTTTGGTACCAGAAGTTTGATCTCAAGTTGTGGTATTCAGATAAGTCATTACCGGTGAGCAAACTTATTACATGATAATGAAAATTTCTTGGTAGTTTTATTTCGGTCAACCACACCAAGTAAAGTGTTAAAGCTTCACCTTTGTAGCCACTTCCAAACTCTTAGCATATCGTATATACAGTGTATTGCAGTTCTTAGTGTGGCTGTGTTTATGAATAATGTGATACGATATAAATGTGCCTACAATATTAAACAAACATGGAACCCAATGTTTGGATACTTAGACATTTTAAAAAGTGGAACCATATACAGTAATAATATTTGTTAAGCACTTTATATTTTAATGTTCTGTGCAGTGCTGTATTTATTTGTTTTAAACTTTAAATAGCAGAGCTATTTGGTGGCCTATTGATAATTTCTGTTCTGATATTTTGTATTTATAATCTCAGGGTATCAAGAATAAGTTTTTACTTCCCGTAAACTATTTATATACGGTACGTTATATTAAATATGGAATGACCACTAACGATCAAACTAGCAGCTGTGATTCAGATAGATTTTTGTATGTATGCGTGTTTTATGTAAAGTATATATATGTGCTTTTTTAGGCAAAGCTTTGATGTTAGCTTATAAAGCAACAAATGTTTTGCCAAACAAGCAAATGTAAATTCATTGTTGCAAAAGGTCAGCAAAAATGTTATTCTGAACATGATTAAATTAATACATTTCAGTGATGTCAAATAACACTTAAATAAATTTAGACTGGCCTAAAATAGATTGGAGTAGGATCAGCTAAATTACCTTGCATTAATTTTAGCAAAGTTGCAAGGTTAAGTAAGATTTCTAAATTAATTTTGGTGCAAAATTAAAAATTGTATACCATGTTAATTCACAAAAAATATATCTGTCAATGCATAAAAGAAGATTTTTGAAATGATCTATTTTTAGATTTGTCAGCCTTTGTAATGTGCAAATTGGTGTTCTACTTTAAGTTATATAATGCATACTGAATCTTCATGGACCATTTGGAAACTTAGTTGTGACATAGCACCATATACCATACCTTTACAAATATTTAAATCATCACAAGATAACCACAAAAAAAAAAAAATCCAAATTACAAAAGGCTTTGGAAGTTTCAATACTGCCAACTTCTTTGTCTCAGCAAACACACCATTCTACAGTTTGACTTTCTTGGGAATTCTTTTCCTTTTGCTTATTTATGGGTTATGGTCTTAGCCCTGTATTTTCATATTTAAAAAATGAACATAATGATACCCACCATGGTAATTATCATTTCCATTGATAAAATCTGAAAGAATCACTAGTGTGTGTGTCTAGTGACCTATTCATGTGAAGCATTATATTGAATAAGCACCAAGCCAACTATGATTTTCATGAGCTTTGCAGAAAATTTCACCATTGTTCATTAATTTGATTTCTCTTTGGATATCTTCAGTGTACAATGTGTAACCTACATCCTGTTGTACATTAAATTGTAACTTGATTGTTGTAAATAACAATTTGCTTAAAAAAAATCTGCATATTGACTTTGGTGTTAATTTTGTTTGACTTACGAACTTCTTGCCAAGTGTTCCTTCTCTTCATTGGTTTATGGTCTCAACACTATACTCTTTTGCTGACACATTAGAAAGCTTTGGATACCATTCTATATAGAAGGCTGCTTAGTAAATTGGAGATTCAAGTAATGGTAAGATGGGTATTAGCACAAATATGGGAGTACTTGCAATTTATCATCTTAAAACACTGTTAAAATGTTGGAATTCCAGCTATATATTAACAGTAGGTCACTGCTGAGGACAGATTTATATAGAATTTCATCACATATTTTTCCCATATCTTCCTCTTTGGCAAATTTCTTAATTTATTTTATTAAGGTTAGGCTTGGCTAGATTAGATTGACATCTGTCACTAAAAATTAACTAATTATATCATACTGCAACACCAGTAAATGAAATATACCATATGTAGGCAGTACAGTAAAAAATATTTTGAAGTGTTAGCAGAAAATGGGAGCTTGCTGAGTACAATAGAAAGTATTCAGACATGTAATCACTGTTTAAGGCTTGTGAACAGTTATCTGTTTGACTGTCTGAGCAACAGTGAAATATTGAAAGTTAAGAGGATGGGCTGCTACTTGAACAGTAGCAAGTAGAGTTACTATAAAGGGTGAAGTATCAGGATGGGAAACGGAAACTATAGTAGTTTATTCCCATAAGTGCTTTATGACCCTTGTGGATCATAAAGCACTTGTAGGATTAAACCAACATAGTATTCAGTAATGAATACTATATTGTGGGATTAAACCAATATAGTATTCAGTAATGAATACTATATTGGTTTTAGTATTTATTAATGACTGAACAACAAAAAAACTCCTTCAATTTTTTCTTTGTGGGTAATGCCAAAACTAATAATAATACATAAAATTACAAACTAGGATAGAAAGAAGCTGCTGGAAGACCTGGACAGATTTCATAAATTGTCAAATAAATGGTTAGTGGAACTGAACCCTCCAGCAAAGATAGTTATGATGCTGGGACCCCTTCTAGGTGCCTTGATGCCAGTGAGGGGCTCTTGATCCAAGGAATTGAACCTGTCCTTTCTTTAGATTGACTCACTGAAAGTCCCACCCTGATGCACTCTTTTTTGGCTTTTTAATGGAAACTAACCTATTGCACTCACTTTGATTTAAATTTTTCTTGTGTTTTAACCCCCCTACCTCTTGCACACCTATTTCCTCACTCATAACCTTTGTGCATTCTACTTTCACACATCCCTTCCCCACAGTGCTGAATGTTCCATATGGGTTTAGGGCTTAAATTGGAAATAATAATTTTTTTTTAATTAGCCATCTCCTAATAAGCTAGGGTGACCTGAAAGAGAAACACTTTTACCATCATTCTCTCCATCACTGTCTTGCCAGAAGCACACAGACACAACAGTTTAGATGCCCCTCCAAATTGCAAATATCCTCACCCCTCCTTCAGAATGCAGGCACTGTACTCCAGGACTCAAGTCTGGCTAACCGATTTCCCTGAACCCTGTCACAAAATGTTACCTTGCTCACACTCCAACAGATTGTCAAGTTCCAAAAACCATTTAACTCTACTCCTATTTGACACATGCATGCATGCCTGCTGGATATCCAAGCCCCTTTTGCAAACAAAACAACTTTTGCCCCCTCCCTCCTACTTTTCCTCGGGTGACCCCTACCCTGCCTTCCTTCCGCTACAGATTTACACACCCTCCAAGTAATCCTGTTTTGCTCCATGCATTCTTTCCTGGGCACTGTATGACTCCTGCTGGTTTAGTTCTTCCCCAATGAATGTAAAAGTAATTTTAAGTGGAACTGGGGAGAGAACACTGAGTATAGAACACCATTTGAGGGAAAAAATTAATTTAACATATATACGTAGCTGAAGAAGGCAACCAAGGAATATCCACTACCCTGAGTGTGGCCTCTGAAGTATTCGTGAACAAAATTAATGTCAGCAAAGACTAAAATTGAAAACACTGGACTAACCATTTACTGAATTTTTGTGGACATAGTTACTCAGAGCTAACACTAAATAGAAAAAATAAAAAAACATTGTACTTGCAAGGAAATATAAAAATATTTGCATCCCTTTACCTTTTTTCCTATTCTTGATCCAAATAATTGGAATTATCCTTCCCTTGAATCAAACCTGAACGTCTTTCATTTCCCAAGTGCTATCAGATCACACTTTGGTGGGTTTAACGCCTTTTCCTCGACTAAAAAAAAATATTCCTCTGAAGGACCCTTACAGGTTTAGTGCTTGATTTTATAATTAATGATAATAATACTATTCCTCTGAAGGTGTGTGTAAAAGCATATGAAAGTGCTCAGGAATTCCTCCTAATTTTTTTCACTAGTATTTTTCATACAAAAAATGAGCTAAGAGGGCTGAATGACCGATATGGGTATGGTGCTGTCTTGTGAATATAATGTTTAATCGCTTCTCTTTGATTATAATAATAATAATATTTAATGTTTTTTAGGGAATTTTTCTATTAATTTCTTAGTGTTGTGAGGGAAGGAGAATCAAAAGTCTGAAGTAACAACACGTCTATATTGTGCAGACTCTCCCACAACAACAGATGCCATAAAACATGAAAGAATTTGAAGTTACTCTCCAGTTCTATAGGATTATATTCATTGCTTACCTCCAGCGTCATCATCGCTCTAACGCCCATACTTTATCTGACCTCACTGACAGGCCCACCTTGACACACACTCCCTCTTTGACTTCGTCAGTGACAGCTTTATTACATTGACTTTGATTATACTTTCCCTTTAGCGCCCCTCACCACGTACTGACTGTACCTCTGGCATACTCTTCACCCTCGCTGGTCTCTGATCTAGCATATTACATCTTTAGCACATCCTACCATTCAGTGCTGTATGACCCTTGTGGGTCTAACACTTAATTTACAGCAGTTACCTGGAACCTAACCTTCTGTATGTTTAGTGCTCCCCCATGATTATATTATAATTATAACCTGCTGTATAAGTGGGGCCCTCCTGTATGTTATTACAGTATACCCTTTGCCCTTCAAGGAAGGAAGGTTCCTTGATGCTGATGAGAGGCTTTTGATCAATGGAACTGGATTTACCCTCATCCTTGGATGAAACTTGACTATCTACCAGATGCTGTATTATCCCTACGAGTAGTGCTTCCCATACATATCCCCTCAAGGGAGGTTCCTTGATGCTGGTGAGGGGCTCTTGATCTAGGGAATTGGATTTGTGCTCCAGTTCCTTGAATTGAGCTTGAATACCTTCCACCCCCCCACATGCGCTGTATAATCCTGCGAGTTTAGCGCTCTCCCATGATTATAATTCCCATAAATATAATAAGAGAGGAATTAAAGTAAACTTTGCATATACAGTGGACCCCCGCATAACGATTACCTCCGAATGTGACCAATTATGTAAGTGTATTTATGTAAGTGCGTTTGTATGTGTATGTTTGGGGGTCTGAAATGGACTAATCTACTTCACAATATTTCTTATGGGAACAAATTCGGTCAGTACTGGCACCTGAACATACTTCTGGAGTTAAAAAATATCGTTAACCGGGGGTCCACTGTATAGATATATACCTCCAGCAATTATATTTGTGATGAGCATTATTTATATTAGCGAGTAATATTCTATGATAGGGATTACAGCATTTCTTGTGATGTAAATAGTCTCATTAAAAAACGTGAATGCGAGTCTACAAAAATTATTTCGCTTTGATGGTCTTTTTTATTCATGCAATGGCTATTCTGTGAGCGGTAGTCACCCCATACCCATGCGGTGAGCGGTAGTCACCCCATACCCTATTTTTATTTATTTAAGTCTTTGCAAATAGTACATTGAGATTATGTATTTACAATAATGGGTTGCAATGCAAAGAGAGCCTCTATTATGCCTAGGCATTATGGGCCAACTTAACATTATTGGCTTACTGACTACTTAACTAAGAATTATATCATAGTTGTACAGTAGATTATTAATTATAAGTGAATCTAATTTATAAGTGAATCTATTCTGTGGGCAGTAGTACCTTCTCAAGGGAGGTTCCTTGAAGCTGGTGAGGGGCTCTTGATCTAGGGAATTGGATCTGTGCTCCAGTTCCCTGAATTGAGCTTGAATGCCTTCCAACACCCCCCCCCAGGTGCTCTATAATCCTATGGGTTTAGCGCTCCCCATGATTATAATTCTAATAATAATAATGGCAGTAGTAGCCCCATACATGTCCTTTGGGCGGTAGTCACCTCATACCCCTCTTAAGAGAGGTAGTCACCCTATACCCATGCTGTGAGTAGTAGTCACCCCATGCCCATTCTGGGGCGGTAGACACCCCATACCCATACCGTGGATAGTTATCACCCCATACCCACACCTGGAGTTTACCTGGAGAGAGTTCCGGGGGTCAACGCCCCCGCGGCCCGGTCTGTGACCAGGCCTCCTGGTGGATCAGAGCCTGATCAACCAGGCTGTTGCTGCTGGCTGCACGCAAACCACCGTACGAGCCACAGCCCGGCTGGTCAAGAACCGACTTTAGGTGCTTGTCCAGTGCCAGCTTGAAGACTGCCAGGGGTCTGTTGGTAATCCCCCTTATGTATGCTGGGAGGCAGTTGAACAGTCTCGGGCCCCTGACACTTATTGTATGGTCTCTTTAACGTGCTAGTGACACCCCTGCTTTTCATTGGGGGGATGTTGCATCGTCTGCCAAGTCTTTTGCTTTCGTAGTGAGTGATTTTCGTGTGCAAGTTCGGTACTAGTCCCTCTAGGATTTTCCAGGTGTATATAATCATGTATCTCTCCCGCCTGCGTTCCAGGGAATACAGGTTCAGAAACCTCAAGCGCTCCCAGTAATTGAGGTGTTTTATCTCCGTTATGCGTGCTGTGAAGGTTCTCTGTACATTTTCTAGGTCAGCAATTTCACCTGCCTTGAAAGGTGCTGTTAGTGTGCAGCAATATTCCAGCCTAGATAGAACAAGTGACC